TAAGAATTCAGGATTCATTACAACTCTTTATTACAATTTTAAAAACCATTACAAAACACTTGTAGCATTGCTTTTATTGTTATGTCCCATCTTGTTCTCTCCATCTTCCTTCTGTAGCCGGACATGTATCCAGGAAACTGCTGGGCTTTCAAAGGATCACAGGGCTATCTTGTGGTGAGACTTTCCATGAAGATCTATCCAACTGCCTTTACATTGGAACACATACCAAAAACTCTTTCACCAACAGGAAATATCACCAGTGCTCCTAGGAATTTTTCAGTATATGTAAGTCTGTCTCTGACTTTARGTTGATGTTTGTACACATAAAGAATGTTTGTGTTACATACCTTGGAAAATAGTAACTTGAGGGAGGACAGCTTGGTAAACTGTTTCACTCATTGCTCTTAAAAATTGGGTATTTTTTCATGAGCTATGAGATTAGGAATAAGTGTTGAAACTAATTTTGGGTGAGTTGTTTCTTTACTCTTGCTTTATACGGTAGTAAACACTTTGGAGGGAGATAATGGCTTTTTATTTGGTCTAGTTCTTCCATGTACTGTTTCATCCTCCCTCCCCTTCTTCCTCTCTACGCCCACTATCCCTCCCATTTTGTCTCTTCACCTTATCTGTGATGTGCCTTAAATATTTTTTAAATTCATTTTACCCAGCATCACAGTTGTGTAGGCAGGATTTCAGAACAGAAGAGACCTCAGGCTTCATCAGAGTATAGTTATGATATCTGAGAACTTCTTGTCAATCTTCTTTAAAAGTTTAAACAGTCACCTGCAGGCATCTGAATTGTGGTTTCAACCTTGATGTTCTCTCATTGTTTGTCCTGAGCAGTTTACATTGTAYTGTGATAAGGGTTTAGCCATGGAAATTAAGGGTTTTGACCATGAAAACATATAAACAGCACAACTATTTACAGGCCAGGAAGCTAGAGCTGTGCCTGAACTTTAAAATATATGGGAAACATTCAGATCCTGGCTTGATAGACCTCCAGGTGCTGTCTCTTGATACTCTGTTATGTAGACATGCTTCTAATTTTGGTTTGGTTGGAAATTTGACAGAAGCAAAAATCTTTCTACTGTTGTTACAGGGTCTGGATGATGAATATCAAGAAGAAGGCAAGCTTCTAGGAGAGTATGTGTATGATCAAGAAGGGGAACCACTGCAGATGTTTCCAGTGACGGTAAGTCTGGATTAAAAGATTTAAAGTGTCAGGAGAAAGTTACTTGAGCAGTGACAGGAAAAGGCCTTGTTCTTATTTGGGCACTGCAGAAGATGAGATAGGTTTTGAGGCAGATACATTCTAAGGCCTAAATAGCTAAGAGGGGAGGAAGGTTTGTTGCCATGTGGGCACAAATGGTGGGAAGTTGCTGAACATATGAAGGGTGTGTTCCATGCTGCTTCAGACTCACTTGTACATAATTGTGAGGCAAGGAGGGTTCTGTTCAAAGGGACAGAAAATTCCCAAGGCATAAYTTAGTTATTGACTGTTGGTACTTTCAGGAACCTAAAAAAGCTTCAGTTACAGCTGTTTATACCAGAAACCTAACACTGCTTTGTGTGTTTGCTTTTCCTCCTCCAGGAGAAAAATGAAGATGCATTCCAAATAGTGGAGCTGAGGATTTTCTCCAACTGGGGCCATGCAGAGTACACCTGCCTTTATCGGTTCAGAGTGCACGGGAAACCTGCYGAGTAATCCACACTACAGCTGGGGGTGGCTGCTTTGTACATTTGGATCCTAATCTGTATATACTGGGAAGCCTACAACACTGGAATCTGTAACGGACGAGGATGCAAGATACCCACTGCAGAACTATTGATCCTCTGATAAAGGCAGAAGACTGTCAGCAGAAATGTATAAAAAAMCAATTTTTATTTGCTCTAAGGCTCAGCTTGTAATTGCCATTTCGCTTCATATTTCTGTGTCCATGCTGAGAGAAATAATGCATGCAAACAGCTCTGGTTCATAAAGCCCAGTTGGCAAACAGGTGACACGTATTTTATTACAAATGAATGTATAGGTTTTTTTAAAAGAATAAACCACACTTTCTGCAACTAGGAATCTGTTCTTTTTTAATCCAGGACTTAACTGCATACTCATGCTAGCTTGGCAACGTAAACCAAGAACTGTGGTACATTTTGAACACTGACTGTGGCTAAAGGTGTCCTTCAGTTGACAGTTGGTTTTGACCTTTTTGGTGGATCCAAAAGGGCTTCTTTGCTACATGTTGAATTTAATAAATACTACTGTCAGGGAAAGCTAACACAACCAAAACCAGTTTMAACACCAGCGACTGAGAATGCTTTACTGTAATTTGTGGCCGTGAATTGCTCTAAAAGTCAGGGATCACTTCAAATAACTGAAGTTATTTTAAGGGTTTTTACCATGGCAACTTGGCCAGTTTGTTTTGTTTTGGTTTTTTTAGTGTCAATTCCAAATCGACCTTGATGTACTGACTGACTGGCACAGAGCTGATAAGCCTGCTAAATTGCTCAGTAAACACTGCTATACAGCAATTGAACTACCTTAGTTTGTCAAAAGYGATGTCTTTGGGACAAGATTTCCTTAGACTGGTTGATTGTTATACTCCATAAATGCTGTACTCTGAGAATTGGGTGTGTGGAAAACAAGCCTCAAGTAATTCTCACTGCGTCACATTTACAAGAGGGATTCGAGCTCAGCGCTGCTGTGTGCAAACACGGGCATTCCTGATCTTCCCCACAAGCCTTAGTCGGGTACCAGATGAGTAGAGTTRCTCTTGGAAACAACATTTCCACGTAGAACGAGATGAAACTGCTTATTCTCCCCCTTAGCCTTGCTGCTTTGAAGATCCTTTTTGGAAAAAGATTCCTRAAATTTACTCGTATGCAGAATTTTTACCTTGCTGTTCTAGTGCATTTTGTAGTTCCACAGAACTGTTACCACATGATGGACCTGCTGACTGGTTTTCTCAATTGAGTTTATGTATGTTGCACAACAGTCCTCGAATGTTTGAAATACAAAAGTCTCCATGTGAAGAACTGTTTTTCACTCGACCTAGAGACAGAACCTATGGCCTACGCAGAGGAGTAGATTGACACATGTACAGGTGTTTTCATATTATAGGTTACATATTTAAAATTAGAATTWTCCTGTATAAATTGAAATTAGGTAGCTGGGGGGGAATATTTTGAATAACACTAACTTATTTTTAAAAAAAAGCAAGATAGGACTTTGTGCAATGTATTTTTGTAAATGCTTTTCAAAATGTCTGTTATTCTTTGCTGCCTCCAAACTGACAAGATGCTATTGAGATGTTTAAATAAAGAGTTTTAATTTTTGAAAGTGCATGTAATACTTGAAACAAGAAATAAAGCTTCTTTTCTGTATTTTTTTTATCAGCTGCCTAAATAAGTGAGAAAAAAACGGTGATTTAAAAATTTCTGCCACCTGGGGCAGGGGTGGGGTGATTTCAGTCAGGCTTTTACAAGGGGCAGGGTCACAAAGATGCAAGGGGCAGATCCAGGAGCAGCATGTGGGTGGAGGTAAAGATCGCAGATGGAGATTTGAAAGGATCATTGGGTCGTTGCTGGATGACTTTCAGCTGTATGAAATGGGGGTTTGATTTAATTCCTGTTCCCTCTTTGGCCAGAGCAGTCCGCAGCCACTCCTGGCTGTGCTCCATCAGCCATTCCTTGATTTTTTTTATTTTTTCCTTGTTCTGCTGTTCCCTGTGCTGCTCTGCGCTCCAGGCGCCGTTACCGCGACCCGCCCGCGGGCACACSGCGCGCAGCCGCGCGGCATGAGCCTCGCGGGCCGCCGTCCGAACGGGCGGAAGCCGGGCAGCGGGGAACCCGAGCTCGGTGCGCATGCGCCCGCCCCCCGCCTCCCCTCCCCGTCCTCCGCGCTGATGGCGGCGGCGATCATGGCGGCGGAGCAGGAAGCCGCGAAAGGCGGCGGCGGCAGGAACCGCGGCGGCGTGCAGCGCGTGGAGGGCAAGCTGCGCGCCAGCGTCGAGAAGGGCGACTACTACGAGGCGCACCAGATGTACCGGACGCTGTTCTTCAGGTAGGGCCGCGCCGGGCCCGCCGCGCCGCCCCTCCCCCGCCCGGCCTTCCAGAGCCTTCCCACGCACTCTCCCCCGCTGCCACGCGCCGCGCCCACGGCCGCTCCCCATTGGCTGCCGCTCCTGCCAATCTCCGCGCCCCGCTCTCTGATTGGCCCGCGGGGGGGCGGGGTGGGGTGGGGCGGGCGCGCGGCGCCGGTGGGAGCGGGCCCCGGGCTGGAGCGGAGAGCGGCGGGCCCGGGATCGGTGCGGCCCGGCCGCTGTGTGGCACCGCCCTCAGCCCCGCCGGCTCGCTCACTGAGGGGCTCGGGGCCGCGCCGAGAACCCCTGCTCGCCCGGCTTTATACCGACCCCGGCCCGGTCCCTGCCCCGCCGGCCCGGGCACCGGCTGGTGACGCGCGGGGGGSGTTGCGTCACACTGCCAGAGGTCACGGACAGAGCGGAATTTGGCGTCCCCGTCCCCAAACGGCTCTCGGTGGCCCCGCGTTCCGGGGAGACCGAGTGAGGCCCTCCGCCCGGCGGGACGGGCTCGGGGTGTCCCCTGGGTGTCCCCTGGGTGTCCCCTGGTGCTCGAATCGGCCTCACCCGGTTACCGGGCCCATCCCGGAGCTGAGCCGTGCTCAGGCGGGGCTGTGCCAGCTCGGTGTGGATGTCAGGGGGCCGCGCAGTGTCGGTTTTCAGGGTTTGAAGGTTGATTGTTGCTCGGCCGTGACACGGGGCTACTTTGTTACACGGCACRGTCGCCAAGGGGCAGCTCTCAGGGTGGTCAGAATCGCCTGCTCGGAGGAGCTTTTTGGAATAAATTCCACTGGTGTAGTGTTGGTGACAGTGACTAAGTAAAGCAGGCCTGGGCATTTGTTCAGAAATGTTACTGCTGTTTCTTGTCATAAGAAAATTGTGGAGGGTTTTTTAGCCTTCATTTTTCGCATTCACTGCAACTTGCAGGTGTCACCTTTTGTCTCAGCAGAGTTTAAAATGCACAGCCTTGCTTGCAGGTGCACCGAATAATGTGTTAATTCTAGAGGCTTCCTCAGTTGCTCCCAGCTTTGTTTGCTTGTGGCTCTGTTGGGAAGGGATGGGACCAAAAATTGGCTTCACAAAAAAGAGCTCTGAGGTCCTCAGGTCCAATTTTTGGCTTATCCCCACCTGTCAGTGGACAGTGGCACTCGGTGCCACATCTGGTATATTGTTGAGCCCTTCTAGGGAATGTGACTCCACCTCTTCCCTGGGCAGCTGGGCCCAGYTCCAATGCTTGACCATYCTTTCTGTGAAGAAATTTCTCCCAATTTCAAACCTGAACCTCAGCTTAAAACCATTTCCTCTCATCTTGTCATTGATTGCCTGGGAAAAGARCACCTGGCTCCAAGCTCCTTTCAGCTGTTGTAGAGAGAAGGGTTCCCCAAGCCTCCTTTTGTCCAAACTCCAGCTCCCTCAGCTGTCCAGACTCGTGTTCTGGACACATTCTGGCCWCTCAGTGTCTTCCTTGAAGTGAGAAGTCCAAAACTGGACACCACCCTGCATTCCCTGTRTCTTGTACTGCTGTCCTCAGACCTCATCTGAGCTAGGATGAGAACAGGCATGTGAGTAAGCTCAGACAAATAGCAGTCATGGAAAAAAAGTGGGGAGGAAAGTCCGTGTTCATAATCCAGCTTGTGCTCCCAGTGTCCATCAGCCTGCCCTGCCCTGCCCTGTGTACCAGCACCATCACRTTAAATCAGTTTGTTCTTCTGTAACCCCTCTGATGGGATCAGCCAGGCACCATCCAGGCCTTAAGACTTAAATTGTATTTGAGAATAAATCTAAATTTAAGACAAAGCCTGGCCTATTTAATAGTAGGGATTATGTGGTGTGGTGTCTGCAGTGGGGTGAGGAGTCTCAGCTCAGGAGGTCACTTCTCCTGCAGTCTTCTGGATGTATTTACTCACATGCTCAAGCCTCTCTGAATTCATTTGGAATCAAAGGTCCTGCCTTTTCCATTTTAAATCCAAGTGTTCAGTTAAAGAAAAGGGTGGCATTTGCATGTCTGGATAGTCTTGTCAATCCTCTGTAAAATGTGATAAAAATCAGCATTTTTTTTCAGAGACACATTAAGATGGATTGGGAGCTCTGGAATGTGATTGGGATAGCTAGTGCATGCTCCTTTTAAACACACAGGCCTGTAAAACATTTGTCTTGTCTGTCAGAGGTTAAACTTGAAATCCTGACTCAGTTTTATGCACTSAGATGTATTTTAGGGTGGAGGAGGGGAAGAAGTGGAGGAGGAAAGATTACCATAAGCCTGTCTYATGCAGACTTATTATCCCCCCATGATCCATGGAGCAGGTGGAAAACTTCTGTTCCTGCCTAACCCTGAGCTCCCCCAAATACACCTGAGCTGGTGGGGTTTGTTACTCCACAGGCTGCCTGGGCTGAACTCTTCTCTCTTCATGATTTGGTAACTGAGGCAGACTTCAGTGTAACATCCTTGTTTCATCCATTTCTATTTTCCTAATGCTTGTAGGTAATTTTTTGGGTATGAATAATGTGTTCCAGGATATCTCTTATTCTAAATGCCATTTACAGCAATGACATCAATATTTATTTTTATTAAACAACTTTCCTAATGAAAGTTCCTTGCAAAATCCCAACTCTTTAAAATGTGTTTTATACTGTAAAATTGTTTTCAGCATCTTTTAGTATCTTCTGTAATAATTCCCAGATTCAGAGCTTCCATATAACATTGYGAATCTACTGGAAGTAAAATTTGTGGAAGTGGATCCATGCTGAGTCCAACTCCTTGAAGCAAACCTGGATGTGAGCCCAGCTATAAAAACTGTGGATTCATTTGACTCACATGCAGAGCATTTACCATGGTGATTGCAGATCTGAGCTGTGGAGGATTATTCCAAAACACCACCATCGTGCTTGCATTATTTCAGTTCTGTTTTGGATAAAAGACCTTGGGCTATCTCAGAGTTGATGAGCAGGATGAGAGGAGTGTCTGTTCCCTGGTTTGTTGTGTGATGTTTCCAGTAGGGCCTGTCCCCAGAGCTGTCACGTGTGACAGGAATCTGGGGCACAGCWCGAGAGGTTTGGGATGTTCTCTCTGATTGAGTGTCCCCATGGCCACGCTGTCCTGCTGTGCCACCACCCCWGAACCCCATGGACACTCTTTGGAACAGCCTGGGGATCCTTAGAGCTTCAGGACACTCCTGAGAACAGAAAGGGGTGACACAGACACAGACACAGCCCAGCCAGGTGTGTCACAGAGAACAAACCAAACACTGCAGGTGCTGAAGCAGTGGGGTAGAGCTGGTGCTTATCTCTGCTGATAGRAGCAAATCAGCTACTGAGAACACTGGCTTTTTGAATAGCAGTTAAGAGAAATGGAATTTGGAAACTCTGCCACACCTAAACTGCTTTTATGGGAAATGCAGTGTTTATAATCTAGAGCTGTGACTCTCCAAGAGCTRTAGTTACTGACAGTGATGATGTGCAGGAGGCTGCAATCACAGCTCTGTGGTTAGAGGTTCTGAGGTAACACTGGGAACAAATTCTTTCATCCCTTATTTCTTCATTAACTCTTWAGTGAGGAAAGTTTTGAAGCATTATATTTTCTTTTAAAGTGTTGCATGATGAGCCTTGCTGGCTGTGCTTGTCTTACTCTCAAACCCATGAGAGACGAGCTCCTTTGGCTCAGCACAGGACTAAGAGGGGCTGATGTCCCCTGGCAGAGTTGTAGTGGTCTGACTTAGACCACTGAGCTCTCCAGGAGGTATTCCAAAAACTTTTTCACTGGGATGCCTTTGGTAGAGGCTTAGTGCATTGGTATCTTTTGCTCAGATGAAATCCAGGGTTTATTCCCTTTCCTTTCTTCCAGCCCCAATCAGTTTTGTAGCTCTCCATTTTCATTCTTATATTCTTTGTTTTATTCCATCAGGTCTGGAGCAGAAAATAAATTGCAGTTCAGGCTACATCATTATTGAAACTARCCTGATTCAAAACTAAATCCCTTGTTATCAGTATTTTAAATTTGAGCAATCTTTTAATCCTTTAAATATTAGTAACTTCTAGCATACGCAACTAACTTAGTGGTAATTTTTATCATGGCTTTGGTATTGTTTTCAGGTATATGTCACAAGGAAAACATGCAGAAGCAAGAGAACTAATGTATTCAGGGGCTTTACTGTTCTTCAGTCATAACCAGGTAAGTCACTGGTTTAATGTGTGTGATTTGGGGTGGGGGCAGAGGGTTGTTACTCCCAAGATGTTGAGAGATGAATGGTGAGTTCTCAGTGGTAAATGTTTGGGATAATTGCATTGTAATCTTTTGTTTTATCTCTTTGTTGAGCCCTTCTCCACAAAGAAGGATTATGCCAAGCTGGAACATGCAGCARGAGTGCTTGTGAGCATCCAAACAATGCCTGTGTTCTGCTTTCCTGGAGGCTTCTCTTTGATGCCATCAAATTACTATAATTTTTTTATCAGGAAGGCTGAGACTTGATGYTGTGCCCTAACTGTAGATGTTGATAAAAGCATTAAACCTGCTGCTGCCAAGATTCTGCTTGATGTTTCTTTTTATGTCCTGAKCCATTCATCACTGCCAGTATCTGTGTGTTTTGTAGCAAAACAGTGCTGCTGATCTGTCCATGCTGGTTTTGGAGTCTTTGGAGAAATCGGATGCAAAAGTAGCAGAAGATCTTTTAGGTGAGGYGACCTCTGCTCTTGGTTTGATGGCATTTAGTTGTGCTTTCCCTTCCCAGTGACTGTTGTTAATGGTTTTGAAAGCTGCAATCCTTTTTGGATGCATTCCCAGTATGGCTCAGAGTTACCATCCCCATAGAAATGGACTGGGGCAAATTTCATTAGAAAATAAGGGGTTCCTGATGAATTTGTGGGCATGTTTGGAACTAACTCTGCTGCCTGTCTTAGAAATGGATCTTATAGATGCATTAGAAGCAGCAGATGATCTTATTTTTCTTATTGCTAAATGTTTTTTAATCTTATTGCTTCTAGAAAACTTGGCTAAATTGTTTAGTTTAATGGATCCAAATTCTCCCGAAAGAGTGGCTTTCGTATCCAGAGCACTAAAATGGTCCAGTGGGGGATCAGGAAAACTTGGACATCCAAAACTACATCAGTTACTAGCTATTACCCTGTGGAAAGGTAAGAAAATTCAACTGGCTTTTCTGTGTTTTCCTTTGAAAATGTTGAAAGCAAGATGTTATAAGAGATCTACTTTGGGAATAATCTAAGGAAGCTGAAATGGAAATGATTGATTGAGTTCTGCTATTATCTGATTTTTGCATTAATGTCTTCTTAATGTTACTAACAGGAAAAAAATGAGTCTGTAGCTCTATATTAGTGCAAAATTCAAAACACAACTGCTGCAAGGCTSTCTCTAAAAGGCAGGTTGATCCTTTAGACATTGAGGTAGTTTGATTGTCATTAGGAGAAAAATTGCTGGGGAGCAGAGAYGTTCTGTTGGCAAGTTTTGTTTTGTTTTTAAATCCTGGATAAACACGACAAAGATTGAAATACATCACCTGGCATCCAAAACAGTCTTTGGACTGTAATTAAGTACTTTTTGAGAAGTTGGCCAATGGGGTTATTTCAGAATGAATGCTCTTGCCTTTGATTTATGAGCCGTTTTATCACTTGTGATGGAATGTAAGAGAAGCACAAAATGCTCTAAATAATTATTTTAATTGTGGATGATAGCCAGTATTTACAGTCTTGTGTTCAAAACACAACAAAGGTGATTGAGAACAGTTGAACACAYGCCATTAGTTCTGTGGTTTCTCATGGATAACTATGCAAGATGATTGTTTATTTTACATTTTTCAGTAGCTGCCAAGTGTTGACAGTGGTTTCATGTAACAAGGCTGACCCAATAATGGTCAATGCTGCAGCCTCTCTGTGTGCCATAGGCAGTTCCCTGGCTGCTCTCTTGGGATTTATGCTGCCAGCCAGAAAGGGAGGATTTTTCTCACAGCATTCAAGTTAGAGGCTGCTACAATTAGGATAAGAAACAGTTGCATTCTGAAAGTAAAACTCCCCATTTTGTAGCCGCCTGCTCACTGTTCTCTTGAAGAACAAAATGCCTACATTTCTTAGTCTGCAGCTTCTTGAGTTTCATTACAAAAGGCTCAGTTTTTTRAAACAAAGCTTTCAAATTCAAAAGATTAGCAGCTACCCAGTTGTGTCATTGCAGGGATTTTTCATGATCTTTTGCTTCAAGTTCTAACAAATCATTGTCATTTCTTACACAGTTTTTGCTGTATAATTGCTGTGCTGTTCAGCATATGGAAGTGATTTTAATTTTGATAGCAAGAGTGGGCTAAGCTAAAAATAGGAAATGAAAGAAGGMCGCTGAAAGTGCTATTTGACTTCTTGGTGCACATGGTCAAATATAGAATTCCTTGATTCCTGTCCTCAACACTGATGATAGCACATCAAATGTCAGCATTCAGTTGGATAAAATAAGATTACCAAAGTTCAAGCCAGTGGTAGCTGTAATTGAGTAAACTGTATTTAATAGCAGTYCTTCCAATGTATTTGGGATACAATTTATTATTATCTCCCTTTATAAATTGTAACTTACAGACTTTTTACAAGCTGTCTTGTTTATATAACTCTTGTTCTTTTACCAGCTTATAAAGCAGAAGCCCAATAAATTTTGTTTTTACATTCAGGTATGCTGAACCAATTTCTTAAAATCTTTTTTCTCTTTCTTTTTCTAGAGCAAAACTATAGTGAATCTCGATATCACTTCTTGCACTCCACAGATGGTGAGGGCTGTGCAAATATGCTGGTGGAATACTCCTCATCCCGTGGATACCGCAGTGAGGTGGACATGTTTGTAGCTCAGGCAGTACTACAGTAGGTGTTAAACTTCTTTTAAAGCATTTTGCTGAGATGATATTATGTGTGGGACCWGTCTAATTTAACCACACAGCCTTTGCAAAAGGAACTGTGAAATTGGTCAGAACAACAACAGGAGAAAACCATCAGAAAACTGATGTGTTAAGTTCGTTAGACTGGGTAGAAAAAAAAAACCCAAAACATATTAAGGTCAAAACCTGAAATTATGTTAACTGCCTGAAGAATGAATATAATCTGTTTAACCCTGAAAGCACAATTCTTAGCTTTGTTAACACTACTTTATGTCTCGTTAGGGCTTATCTATATATTCTTACAAAGACCAGACCCATGTAGGCCCTAYATTTACCCTTAGCATAGTGTTTGCTCTCACTCAGGTCCTAACACARCTTGGCATGGTCAGCCTGGTCTGTGAGCAGCAATTTGATGGCTCTCACTGTGACAGAGTTGCTGCTGGCTCTCATTTGAGGCATTTATTTAGTAGGAGGTRGGAATGCAAGCTATTATGTGCTTTTGCAGAGCTGATGTAGAATGAAGGTTGACAAAGCCAATTTTACTGTGTTTAATCAGCTGATGGTTTTCTTCAGTCAGGGAAAGCAGCTCATGGAGGAGGCTGAGGAGGAGGTGGAGACAGGACTGTGTGGCAGGGAGTCAGGGAGAGAGTAGGTGTTGGGGGAGAGGGAGGAGGTGAGAGCAAGTTTGTCTCTCTTTTGGCAGCAGTGAGCTGTCATGTCAGATTTGTCCTGCTTTCCATAGCTGGTTGCTATAGATTGCTGTGATTTTGAGCAGCAGCAAATCCTTTATGGAAATCCAGTATATGCAGGACTCTTAGACAATTTTATGGTGCTTTGTTCTGGAGGGGGAGAGATTCTGTGAAGAAGTTAAAAGCAAGAGATTATTTTTTTCAGTGTTCATACAGCACTTCTACTGCATCTTTTACTGGCCTATATGTCARATACTGTGCTAAATCCTCTCACACAGCAGTTTCAACTCTAATGAGAATAATTGCAGTTCCTTGCTAGCAGTGAAGCAAAAGAGCCCCAAGCCCTTGCACATGTGAGGGTGCAGAGTTAGAGGCCAGCCTGCCATCCAAAATGAGATGGCTCGTGGCAGTCTTTCTACTGCTTGGTGACAGTGTTTGTCCCAGTTAAAGGCTCATTAGGCCAATGGGACTTACAGAGATTGCCAGTTAAATTAACTGGACCTGAACAAGGGTTTGATCTGTTTGGGGAATCGATCTGCTGGGGACAAATGGCTCGGGAGCTCCAAGTACAGCTTTATTATGAGACTTTTAGGCATGTGTGTCAAGCTGGTCCTAATGCCACATTCTGTTGAAGTGGAATAGAATTACAGAGGAGTCAACAAATACTGACAGATACGTACTAAAAGGAGTTGTGTTTGGGGATGAAGGGGTCTTTAATTCACTTTTAACTCAGCAGAGTAAACCAGTAGATGCAGATATGTTTAATGTGAATTACAGAATAGCCATTCCTTCCACATTTTGGTTAAATTGATGCTCTCTTTTGGTAACCGTCCTGTGTACAATCTGCTTAGATCCTGGTTAAATTCATTCTATGAATATTTAATGTCTGTTTTCCCTCCCAACCTGCCTATTCCACCATGTGTTCTAGCAATGATTTTCCCCTTCCTCAGCTGATGGCCAGGCCAGCCCCAAAGATGTACATYTGTGCCATTTGGGTTTTGCCATCAGTTCAAGCCTGAGATGGCCTCTGTGCACAAATGAAGTAGATTGTTGAGCTTTTGGCTTCCATTTTTCTTTCTGCAAGTGAAACCATTTCTCTGCCTTTTGTTTTTAACTTGCCCYGTTCTCTTTCCTTTTTCAGATTTCTCTGCTTGAAAAATAAAACCAGCGCATCAGTTGTTTTTACGACATACACACAGAAACATCCTTCAATAGAGAAGGGTCCACCCTTTGTGCAACCACTGCTAAACTTCATCTGGTTTCTGTTGTTGGCAGTTGATGGGTACAGTCTGATTTCTGTCATGTTGTTCTTGGTTTTCTTTTCAGTTGTTAACTGAGATTACATTTTTGGTTGTTTCCTTTCTAGAGGAAAACTAACAGTATTTACAGTATTGTGTGAACAGTATCAACCTTCACTGAAAAGAGATCCCATGTATAATGAGGTGAGTTACTCATAAACAGGATTTAACCCACTGAATTAGTGAAATAATGGCTGATTGTYTCCAGCTTTGTGACTTGTACATAGGAGCTGGTGATTTACCTTGTGTGGGTGATTTCTGCCCATATTATTTCCATTTATAAATGAAATAATTGACATATTTTTTTTATCTTGTGTCCTTGCAGTACCTAGATAGAATAGGACAGCTTTTCTTCGGAGTTCCGCCCAAGCAGACCTCGTCCTACGGGGGATTGCTAGGTAAGAGTCTGATCAGTGACTTGGGTAAAACATCTGTGCTGGAAACAAATAATCCATTCTGATGAATTTAGAATTCTTTTCGTAGCCTGTAGAAACAGCCCCTGCTGTAGAACACAAGAYGAATGAGTTGCATGTAAAAGTAGTTTGGGGGAGTTTGTAGATCTTTCATCTTTGAGAAGGGCAGAAGCACTAAAAAGACTTTCGTGGTTAATTTTGGAGATTAAGGTATCACTTCCTAATGGAAAGAAGAATCTCAGTGGTGTTAAGGCTTCATTTCCTCAGACTTCAGTGGCCAGTTTTTAAGTCAAGTCTGGTAAGGATCTAATCAGTGCTAATATAACATGAATRTGCCCAAAGAGAAGGTTCTGAAATTAATACTGCCCTTCTACAATARCTGAAATGGAACAGAGAAATTCCACCCTCCTTTCCTGGCTCTTGAATAAAATATAATTTGAGTTTAATGTTTTGCTTGAGAGCTAAGCTTCTTTGTAAATTGATTGATGATTAATGAACAAATGTCAATTCACTTACACCCAAAGTTTGATGAAAAACATGAACATCATGTTTTTCCCACTTGTAATTTGCTTTTCAGCAATTCAGGCACCTTTAAATGGATGCCTGTGAATTTCAAGTTAGTTTTTTTACAGCATGATGCAGACTGTGGCTGCCTTTTGAGAGTTTCACTGCTGGAGGAGTGTTTTTCCTCTTTTGGTTAGGTTTTTTTTTCCCCTCTCAGGATGCAACTGTAGCACATAAATATGTGACTTTAGGTGTTTCCAGTGTATTCTTAGAAAAGGAACAGTATCAGTGTACAGCTAAGAGTATACAGCTTCCCAAATCAATATTCTTCATGGAAACCAGTGTGGGATTACTGAGGTCTTGCTGAGACTCTTTTACTTCCAAACTCTTGGGGTTTTTGTTACAGAAATCTGCAGGATGGAAGATTAGTTACAAGTTTTTGAGCTGAGATTTTAAAACAAATGATTTTGACTGTCCTGTRTTTTATTCTAGGAAATCTTTTAAACAGTCTGATGGGAACTGGGGAAGATGATGACACAGAAGATGGTCAGGAAGACAGCAGTCCTATCGAGCTCGACTGAATGTTGTTGTCATTGGGTGCCGTGTAAATCTGATGATTCGATGACTCCAAAGACACTTTTGGAATTTGAATCCTGCAGTTGTTTCTTGGCTCCTAAAAGGGCTCCTCTGGTCTTTTAGAAATGGTTGCTGAAATGTTTATACTGTCGGTCTATATTATTTATGTAAAAAAAAACAAAAAAAAAAAGAAAGAAACCAACAAAAAGTAGCCAAACGAACCAATGGGAGCAGTTGTTAGTGGGTTTCTGATCCAGCGGCTGGGGACTGATTAAACATAGTCTGCGGTTTCTGATGCAGTATTCCCTTTTGCACAGTCATTCAATAAAGCATAAACATGGGGCTTGTCCTTTATGGCCTACCCAATTCCGTCTCTGTCCTGACAAAGCCTCCTTGCCCTCTGCCCCATTCCGAGGAACATCTCCAAAGGCAGGGGGAGCAGTTGAATAATTGATGTGCGAGGCTGGTGCCAAAAGTACTGCGAGACGAGCTGAGCAGCATCATTTGAGATGCACACCCGAGAGACATTGATACAAGAACTCACTTCCACTGCCACGAGTAACATGCACACCCTCGATCCTGCCTTCCCCATCCCCAGCCAGGCTCTGGCTGAGCCCACGCGTGGCTTTAGCTGTTATTTCCTGAAAAGCACAAGGTTGAATYGCTCTTGAGTAAAAGCCCATCAGTGGAACGCAGGTAATTGGCTTCCAGGTGGATCTGTCTTGCCTAGGTATAAAAATTTGGCATTTAAAATACCTCCTGTGGYTTGTGGCTCTATTTTGGAAGAGATTTTGCCAGTGTAAGTTCCCAGCTGGGCAGCCTTGCTGAGTGGAGCAGAGTTCTGTGTTTAAACCGGGCTGGATGGCAAGAAAAGGGATACTGCAGAGCTTCTGGTTCTTCATGATATATTTATTTTTCTTGGGTGATTGATTCATTTAACACTTTCTGTTAAAAAAAAAGAATAAATCAATAAATAATGGAGTAACTTCACCCCCAGCAGTAGGCATAGCCATTCTCCATCTCCTCTGTAATGCAGCACAGTCTGGTACAGGGAACAGGTGAAAGGGTGGGGAAACGCTTTATTTTTTCATGATGAAAATAAAAAGGCTTAGATTAATAAACAGCAGTCATGCATGGGGGAGGGATTAATACAAATTTATTGACTGTATGAAAAAAAAAAGGCATTGACAGGAAGACTTTGTGTTAATTGTGAAGTCTCAAATAAACACTTTATACCAGGATGTGCGATACTGCTGCTTTTTAAAAGTTTCCCAAGCAGAGCTTGGGAAAAAAGCTCTGTTTGCTATTTTTTTTCACTCTGCATTTGACTGTGGATCATCCAGCCCTCAGTGCTGCAGTTTCACCTCTGTGCAGTAAAATTCGAGTGGAAYACTGGAATTTCTGGAGCAGATGGGAGTTGCTTTGCTTCGTCAGCAGGTGGAAGGAAGAGCTCCCTATACAGGATGGTGCTGTAGACATTTAATCATTAATTGGGATCTGGGCAGAGGTTTAGAACCACATTATTTAATTGCTTTTGGCTGCCAGGAACGTGCCTCTCTGGTGTCCACAGGTCCAGCACGTCCCCTCCTGTGTCCTGTATGCATTAGGAGGTTGTGTTTGCCTCAGCTGTGCCTGCAGCACCCCAAGAGCGAGCCCTGACCCCAAAACCATGGCTGGGGCACCCACGGGTGGATATGGAAAAGAGATTTTCAATAATTACAACAGGAGATACAGAGATGTGTGTGTGTGTGTAAAATATATACCCAGGAATTTAAAATACATGTATACACACACMTATAAACAGCCTTTTGTGTAGATAATAATTATATACTTCTACGGCATATAATTTATAATATTTTTATATTATACTTAATTATACATGCACACAAAACAATTTTTACAGCTACCTATAAACACAAACGAGTCCAGTCTGCCCTCTCCCTGCTTCTGCCATGCCTGGGTTTGGTAAGTAAGCATGAGTGACATAAATATTTTAAATATAAGTTAAATATATAATTACAGTTATACATACACATGTGCATGTGGCTATATGTACGTTTGTATGCAATATATCCACCTTAAATTTATAAACATATTTATGAATTATATAAAGCATGCACATGTGTATATAATATATAATCACATATTTTATAAAACAAAGTATAAAAATGTCTCGATACACATACAGGTGTATTAAATACATTTATATATTTGTAAATGGAATATGTCTGAGTGCTACATCTATACATGAATGTGTGYATATGAACACCTCATACATACACACATGTTTTATATATTATTCTGGCTGTGATAATCAACAACCCTTCCATAAAGATTATTTCTAYATTCCTAAGAACCAGCTATCCTTTGTGTATGTGTGTGCATTACACAATATACACTCMATAAAGAATATTACAGAGAAAATAYAGAGAACATACACTCTATAATACACACATATACACAAATAATATATAAAATAATACACATTGAATGTCAGGGTGGGGCAGATGGTTTTGGGGGTGTCCTCATTTCCWTTTTAACCCCACCTCCCTCCCCTGCCCCAGCACCACACGGCCACGGCTCTGACATAATAATAATTTATTGTTTCAAATGACATTTAGTACCACAGTTGTCTTACCAGTGACAGAACGAATGCACACAGCCGATGAGATGCTCTCAGATACACAACCAACCTAAGAAACGCGTCGGGCAGGTCCGTGGCTGGGGCTGGGCCTTCAGGGAACGCCAGAAATCGCATTTTTGGGTAAAAATCCAGCACCTGGTGTGCAGGTCCCAGCCCGCCTGCCCTGACTGCAGGAATTACAGTGCTCAACACCGCGCTGAAACGTCACTTCAAGCAGCGATTTTTTTTTTTAAGGTTTTTTTTTTTTTTTTTTTTTGCAGCAAAAAAAAAAAAAACAAAAAAAAAAAAAAAGAATTATTGGGGGGAAAAAAGTGCAACCACCAAGTCTGAAGAAGGGATGTGCCTGCTGGGAATGAGCAGGGACAGGCTTTGATGGTGCCTGTCAGSAAAACTGCACATAAAGCTCAACCCCCAGCCCCATCCTGGGCTCCCCAAATGGGGCAGAGCCCCCCAGACCATGGRACAGGGGTGACCCAGGGAGCCTGGCCCCCAAAGCTCTGCTTCCCCAGCATCACCTCCGGTTGGTGTCTCCCTTGCAGCCTCCTCCTCCCTAAGCAGTGTGGAGGCTGATGATGCCCATTTGCTGTGTTTCTAAATCCCRTTTGACCCTCTCCAGGTCCAGCATCACCACGCTCCCCAGGGACATCATTCAGTGATCATTTCCCTGGTGCCATGGCAGGCTCAGCTGTTCTTCACAGCACCAATTCCATGTTTTTCCAGGCTGTTTCCATCCCACAGGATGTCACCTCTGGGGACTCACAGCCCCCTGGAAAGGGCTGGCAGCTGGCTGGAAGTTCAGGGAGGCTCAGCTCAGCACSCAGGGACCTGTGCAGGGGAAAAAGTCCATGTGCCCCTGGGATGTGCCACCAACAGTCTCTGCCATCCTGGTGAATCCAACTGGGACACCCCTTCCACCCTTCCAATGGGGTGGCAGGGCCACCTGTCCCATCCCACAGAGCTGAATTTCAAGTTGGATCAGGATCTTCTCCGACGTTCCACTGCCGCCCTTCCGACATGATCGAGTGAATGATGAGGGGAAAGGGAAGTATTATTATTGTTATTATTATTACTGTTATTATTAATTATCTTTAACATTTCAAATAAAACCACGTTGTGTTGTAAACAGAAGCTCGCTCCTCAGGTCTGGCCAGACAGTCCCAGCTAAGGTTTATGTTTGAAATGGGCTTCCACTGAAAGGGAAAAAAACAGAGAAAATAAAAGTTAAAGCAGGACAAGCACTGACAGGTGGACACAGCCTGGCCCAAGCCCACCCTGACAGCAGTCCTTGCTGACTCCAGTTATCCTCATAACCATATAATTGATCCTTATAGCAGGATGAAGGCAGTGAAGAGTGAAGGACATCATCCTCTTCCTCCTCTCTGCTGAACCCACCTTTGCACCCCAGGGCAGTGAAGGGCTGCCCCACCACATGGCACAGGAGGGACAGAGCAGCATCCTGCACCCCCTGCAGCCATCCCATCATGCCAGCCAGCCCCCGGGGAACCCACCTGCATATTCCTGAGGCAGCATGGGCCTGCTGATGACTTTCTGAAATGTGGTGATCCACTCCAGTTGGTCATCCTCCGTCTCGCAGGCAAAGAGGAATTTGCGGTCCGGGGTGACGATGGTGATCCCGTGCTGCCAGTGGTTCCCCTGCGTGGATGGTGGGAGCCCTTCCAGCACCTTGTAGCTGTTTTCCTTGCTCCCAATAAAAACTTCCCCTCTAGCAAAGGCATCCTAGGAGACAGCAGAGGAGGGGTGAGTGTGAAGGGAGCTCAGCATCCCCACCAGCCAAGCCCCACCAGCCAAACCCCACAGCCAAACCCCACAGCCAAACCCCACAGCCAAACCCCACCAGCCAAACCCCACCAGCCAAACCCCACAGCCAAACCCCAACAGCCAAACCCCAACAGCCAAACCCCAACAGCCAAACCCCAACAGCCACCCCAAAGCCCTGCTCAGCCCCAGGGGCACCCACAGCACAGCACCAACACCAAGGAGCAAAATTCAGATGCACAATGTCTGATGGGCAGGGTTTCTAAAGAGTTTTTGGTGTTCAAGCATGGAGCAACTGCATGCTGGACACCCTCTTGGTGCTCCCACCAGCCTGAATGCACTGCAGATCATTGCTGTAATTATTAGTGCTATTATAATTAGTAGTAGTAGTGCAGATAATTGCCAGCAGAACCTCCACCTTACCAGGGGATCTTTGAAATACATGAGCCGTCGGTCATCCATGGTGAACCATCGCTTCTTGAATCCCTCTGTTTGCTGAAGAGATAAAAAACACTGCATTACACACTGGAACAGCACAGCTTCTCCTTTACCAGGCATGGCCCAGGAGTCTCAGAGCACCTGGAGGAGCCTGATGGGCTGGGGGAGCTGGAACAGATGGCTTCTGGGCCACCACAGCCAGGTTCTGGGCCAGCTGTGATGTGGTTTTGGATATTTTTAATGTTTGCTCCACCATGAGGGAAGCACATCAAACACATCCACAGCTTTGCCTCTCTGGCCAGGGTTGGGTTGCTGGTGGCACAAACCCTTCCCAGGCTCACACAGAGCAAGACTCGTGTTTGGAGGGACTGAAAAAGGCTTCCCATCCTACCTTTGGCCCCGTTTTCTCCATGTATCCTTCCTTCAGGTAGTTTCTAGAAAGCTTTGGCACCAGCTGCAGCAACCAAAGGRACAGAAGAGAGAGCAGTGTGAGATTGAGGGGAATGGGGATCACTGGAAGGAAAACCCAGAGAATGTCCTGAGGTCCTTTGGGGTGCAGGGGCAGCCAGGGACGGAGCCACCCTACAGAACCCTCCCAGATAATTGGTAAAATTGGTAAAAATTGGAAATGCAATTAGATTTGAGAATCCACAGCCAGGGAGGGGAAAAATCAGCAGGCAGCAGCAGCACAGTGATGTTCCTCACACAGCCACAGCAATGGCATCAGCCARGGCTAACACAATCAGCAGCTCCAGCCCCGGAAAGCACAGGTAAAAAAATAAATTTATAATCCAGGCTGCACTGACATGCAGAGAAGGAGTCAGGAATGGCACTGACACCCTTCTGCCCCTCGTCTTTCCTGCCTTCCAGCCCTCATTTTGGCTTTTRTGGTTGCTGGAGGTGATCCCTGGGWTTTTYRGYRTGGCAGTGCCAGAWTGACCCCACGGGCTCCAAATCCCACCACAACCATCCCAGCCTGGTCATAGCACAGAGCTCAGAAGGATGGAGCACTCCCCAAGCCTTCCAGCTTGTTARCAAGATGCTAAAAATGAGTGAAAAGGGAAAAARAAACCAAAAAAACCCCAACCAATAGTGCAGGAACACTCACATCAGAGTCACTGGCTCCAGGGAATGCCACTTGTAAATAATGGAAACGTGCTGCCCGGATGGCGTTGAACCAATCCACGATTTCCTGGTAATGAGGAGGAAAAGCAGAGTGAGGAGCACAGCCTGCACACAAAACAACCTGATCCTGCTGCATTTCATCTCTCCCATCACTCCAGCCCCAGGGGCAGGGCACAGCACAGCAGAAATCCTAAAAACCACAGAACACAGCACACAGTGAAGGATGGGGAACATTCCGGGCTGTGTTCAGAGCTCT